GAAACATGTAATGTTTCTAACGAACACAATAGCTAACCATTTATAAATCCGTACACAACTCAACTCTAAACATATCACTGCATGGTGTTTGATCCGATATGATGTATTACAACTCCATTTGTTTCAAAACGGAATACACAAAAAAATACATTATGAAACCCAGTTTTCTATAATCTTATTTGAGTCTCCAGCACCGTCTACCCTTTCAACCCATAAGTATGTCAGCAATTAAGGGTATCGTTTAAATAATTCATGGTCAATAATATTGCAATGTCGAGTGAGGGATTGAGAGACGGGGGGGGGGGGGGATATTGTTTTGTCAACGTTTTAATAATCGTTTAATCAAAAGTAAACAACCAACAACAATCGGGAATAGTACATTCTTTAAATTATTCAGAGTATTGCAGTAGGAGGCGCCTTTCTTTACAGACTTGGCCACAACAATGCCCACCATGATGTCAAGATCCACAAAGGACCGTTCCTATCTTTAACGGCCGTTTCCTACGACTTTGCCTTTTAGTTATTCGATAGTCATTGTATTTATTTTTCTAAAGTATAACATTTTGTTCGAAACGTTGTAATTAATTACATATTGATCAACATTATTAAACATGTTCAGTCTTCCCATTATATTTAACACAGATTTCTTTTACTCCACGAGGGCCTGAGCAGGACAGCTGTCTAGTCGTTCGGATAGGACGAAAAACCGAGTCCCGTCTAACATTGGCGTGCACGTAAAAGATCCCTTGACAGTTGGAATTCGATATAAGAGTAGGCCGTTGTGCCGCTGTCCGGGCAAAATTTCCCTCACAGCACACTGTATGGCGTATGTCCGTCTTCATGAGCCCAGTTTGGACGTTAGGACGTTAAACAGTAGGAAGTTAAACCCCATTTCATTTCATTTCATTTCTTTTACCGCGTGACCCAATATTTGACATGCACTTTAGTTAGCCCTTGATTCGTTCTATGATGAAGCAAAATATCACGCAAGTTTATCGAGTTCAAATTAAAGAGCCAAGAGTAGGATAGGCCGTCGAAAGACGAAGTGTTCTATGGCTTTTAACTAATATTTAACAAAAATAATATAATTGTCCATCGTTTTGTTGAAAGGATGGGGAAAACTAAACCTCACGATATATTCTAAACCTTAAAGGAAGTGGAATTATTTTGACTTAGGTTAAAATAAAGTGTTATTTCGATTAGTGATATTATAAGCTCTACATGATTGTCTTGCAACAGTAAGCGGAGGCCGGTTCGATTATTAATTGTAATTTCATTTTTAGCGCTTGGATCTAAAATTTTGAACGAAGACAGAATATCCCCCCTCACTCCGAAAAAAATCAACATTGAATATCCGATGAAATATTATCAATGACCAAGGTCAAAGAGAGATAAAGAGAGAGAGAAATGGAATTTAACGTCCACTCGGGACTATGATATGGTTCAATTTTATTTTAATAATTCGCTTGCGCGTAGGGGTCTTTAGCAGTGGCAGGAAACTGGAGAACCCGGAAAAATCCCACCACGAGGTTGGGCAGGCGACCCTACTCTTTGTCACTCCAGTTGACTCAATGACAGACCTTATGAAACAATTCGGTCATCCAACCCCCCGACCAAGGTCAAAGAGGTCTAGCAATTTCGATTTTGTTACGAATATCAAGGGTCGCTGTTATATTATATCATTCAGAATGGTATCTCAACCATTAGGTTTGAAATCTCAGACTCAAAAGAAATTAGTTTACAAATTAGATCATATACATGAATATTTACTTATTTAAAAGATGGAGACAGTTAATTCCTTATCAATAGTAGTAGTATGATCTACCTGCTGGAGGTCTACCATCCCAAAAACTCGGAATTCTGAGAAAATGTGGAATGTCCCTTTAAACTATTCAAACTAAGTATTATTAAAATGTGAGTCACAGTTAAAATATTTGACTGTTAAATACGCACTATATATTATAACATCAGTGTTCTGATAATATGGCACGCTGTGTTATATAATGATAGATAATTTATATTGTAGTCCCAACAGACTTACATAGCCTATTTACTGTGTTCAAACTTTAATGACGTAATATCGATTTTTCTTCTCTCTTTAATTATCACCATTTCTGTTTAGCCTGGTCAATGTTTTAAGTGTTAGATAACAAACATCTCATACGGCTTAAATAACTACAGAATCGCATATTATTTCTATACAAACTGTGCATGTTTTCTATTATAAAACATACACAGTGATCACAGTATCAAGAACACGCCAGATATCTCCCATGTCCCGTGTTTTACAAAACAAAGGATGTGATTGTGTATTTTCCGGATTTTTTTCATGCTTCTAAGCCCAATTCTTGGACCAGGAACTGCTCTCCAACCGCGATTCATCTTCTTCTTCTTGCTGCTTTTGTTCTTAGGACCACGCTCTTAGAAAAAAGTCAGTTCAAGTAAGATGGATATGAAACTAGGTATGCTTGTTCCTTGGGCAATTGTGCATCGATTAACATTTCCAAGATGGCTGTAATGACATCAGAACCAGTTTCTGGTCCATAGCAGTCATGCGGACTAAATCCGAGCATAATCTTTAAATAAATCTATGAATAACGAAATTTATAAAGTAATTATAAAGTTTGACACATAAATAAATTAGATATACACGGGTATATGTAGATGTTAAATGATATCCATTTGACTAAAAAATAGTTCTGTTCAATGGTGATCTTATTTTGTATGGGAGATCATTGATTTGGAAATAACTACATCTAACAGGAGAAGTACAAACGAGAATACGGCGCATGGGCTTACATCCATATTCACATTACCTATATATTTTACAAACATATCGATTCCACGTTTACATTTCGTGACTTTCCAATCAATAAAATATGGCGTGTGAAGGCCACATGAAAACTATAAACATAAGTAACAGCTTGTTTTTATATCCGAGTACAACCCAAATAAACATATTTACTAGATATATATTTATACAAATTCACATACCATATCCAACGATATGTAACAAAGAATTCTATAGGAAATCTCGTGACAAGTTTGTTTAGTCATCTATTTCAATATATATTTTTACACATATAATAGCTAGTGGTTGTGGTAAGAAGTGGGTTTAACTACTTTTCTGCTCAAACTGGGAAAATCAAGACAGGCGGACGCCTTGATTTCCATCTGTCAAGGGTTCTTTACGTGCACGCCAATGTGTACACGGGACCCAGGGTCGTATCTAGTGGGGGTGCAGGGGGTACATTGCACCCCCGGAAAAAAAAAATAGATAACCTTTCAATCATAAAATAATACACTTGATTATGATCACACAGTGAGGCTCTTAAGGCACTGATCAGTCGGTCTTTTTTTAAGGGCGCCCACATTCTAATGGGTAACTTGGGCATTATTTTGGCGCCCCACCACTCTACTGCACCCCCACTTTTAAAATCCTACATACGGCCCTAACGGGACCTCGGTTTCATCGGTACATCGACGCTCTTAATTCCAAGCCCTACATCCTGCACCATTGATATTGGGAAAACACGCTGTGATTTAATAGAATATACTTGCTATCAGTGATCATTTTACAAAATACTTTTATACGACACATCTATTCTGCGGGGCATAGCCATAGCTACTTTATGCCGTATTAACCCTTCATCTTTAGATCAAATCTTATACATGGATTATTCGTGAACATAATTAAATGTCTCCGTGTCATATTATGCTAATCAGGAAACGGAAAAGAATCCAATAATTACATGAGAAATTAATATTTATTTCCCTTCCTTACTTACGTCATTCGAAAAGCCTCTTGTTAAAACTGAACACAATTCCGACGGCTTTAAAGTTGCTATTTTAACATATTATTCACACACATTTAGCGAAATGAAATTTGAAAAAAAAATACTAACAAAAAAACCCCACACAAATATTTGTTTCACAACCGTATCGGGCAAAAATTAATAAATCAATCCTTGTTCTGGGTGTTAGCCACAATTGACAAATTACATCACTTTCATTTATGACTAAGGGCCCCTTGGAATTAGTATAAGAATCCTCGATTGTTTTAGTTTAAAAAAGAAGAAATAACCAGACACCTTTCCACAACCTTGATTGGTTGCTTTAACCTATTGTGAAGGTGAAGGTTGCGACACAACGTTATTAGTGGAAAAATACAGCTTGAATATTAATTTATTCGTTATTTATTCTGTTATTAAGCTTTTTGGACAAAACAACGTTTAATGAAATAATTACTGCTGGGGATAGTTGTTTAAGACGCAACGTGTCTTTCTTCAATCACAACAACATGGGCCTGCTTCTATCGACAAATTTATAGCAATCAAGAACCTAACAAAGGATAAGTCGGGCCTATAATATCACTTATATAATGCCCCCCCCCCCCCGCCACCTTCTTAGTTTTTCCAGATTATTCAATAGACACATTCACTATATTTACACTGAAATACCAATTAAGAACTTCAATAAATCTGGCACGGGAATCGATTTAAATGAAAAAATAAATTAAAAAAATGCATTCACTGGGCTTCATATAGCATTACCTAAATTGTTTTTTTTTATTCATAAAATGACCTGGTGTATACTTTGCATTCTTGCAAATTATGTCTCCTAAATGACCCATTTCTAAAAATCATAGATATTTTAAATCCGATCATTTTCTATCCCGAATTAGATCTTATTAATGGCCTAAGTTAATCAACTGGAACAACCCATCGACTTGAATCGGGGTCCTGGGACTTCTTTTAATCTTAAATAGAGAGAGGTTTGTAGATCTACAGTATTATAGGCATAATATATTACTACCATGAGACAACATTTCGTGGAGAAATATTTTACTTTAGAATTATCGGATTCTGAAAATGCTAAATGATTCTTGTACTGTAACGCAAATACCCGTGACATTGAGTAAGCCAGAACGGAGCATATCGATTGGCTGGAATAAATGACGTCACTTAGCCATTCACTATAAATACATTTTGGCCCTCGAAGAATTTAGAATTGTCTTTGCTACGTCAGTGAATGTACGGGACAAACTCAAAGCTATTCTTTTAAACGTTATTTTACAGATTGTTTGGTCTTCTTGATACCTTGTACTAGAATCAACTAAATCACCATCAAAATGGCACAGAGTCAACCTCGTCAGAACTTCCATTTGGAAAGTGAAGCAGGCATCAACCGCCAAGTAAACATGGAGCTGTATGCTAGCTATACTTATCAGTCTATGGTGAGTCGCCATTTTTTATTTTTTGTTTGTTCTTCATCATAGACAACGTAATTTATATTTAGTAGATGGTTGGCATGCAGCAGTTTGCGTGTTGCATACTTATATAAAGTCCAATTCTTTGACGGTGGTTTTTGAGCTGTAAAGTCACGATTCAGCCTTGGGTGTGTTCGCAGTATCGAGTTATCGACTAATTATTTCTACCAGTGACCTTGCTTGGGTCAGAGAACACGTGACTGTATAGCTGTTTATGTTGGATTTTGCGGTAATGGCCACGTGCTCGATACTTGCATAAACGGTGTCAGAAATAAGGATGGTTATATCCAGGGGCGTCGTGCAAAAAATTTTTTTAGGGGGGCCCAACTTTCTGCAAGTGTGTTCATGGTAAATTAAATTTACTGGCTGCGGAGAGTGTTGGCGGTGGCGCCGCCCACATCGAATGCAGTAGGCATGAGCATGCAAGGGGGTTACGGGGGGGGGGGCCTCCCCCGGAAATTTTTTAAAATTAGAAGCCGGGAAACGCCATTTCGATGGATTAGAGACAATAAAGTTATGATTGAAAAATGGTCGTTTTTTTTAGTGATAATTGTAATTTATCACTCGAAAACTGAATTATATTTTATTCATCTCAACTTCGATTTAATTATTGAATGGACATTTCGAACAACTTCATGCATGGTCAAATACGTATTTAGATGTATTTGTATTTTAATAAAAAATACTTTCAGTCTTTATTTTTGACACTCGTATATGGATATTTTATCAAATACAACATACAATCATAAATAGGGATTTACACAACAAGCACAAAATCAACTCTGTACGTAAACCCCCGGATGGCTTGGATTCGGCTTGGATTTAAACAGGATTTCATTGATTGATTAAATTTTTAAATGGCGACGTGAGCGGAGATTAACCGTTACGTTGACGTCATACTCTCGGAAATTTTAGATCGAGGCTAAATGATAGAGTGTACGAAGCGAGTTATATAGAAATATAGCTCTATGGCGAGGCCTTAACAAATGATATCTAAACTAAAGTGCAATAAACTAAACACGGATAATGACAAATTATACGATTCCTGGAGACCATGTGATGACTAAAACAGACGGACAGGACTTCTGTCTTAATAATATCAATAAAAATATTTTTATTTCACTGAGAATTTGGGGGGGGGGGCAGCCCCCCCCTCCCCGGGCCCCAATGGGCACGACGCCAATGGTTATATCTCAATTAAACCTTGTTATCGACGAAAAAAAAGAAATACCCGTAGGGCGACATATTGTCGGCTGTCGAAATTCGAGATAAATTTATCACGCCTCGCCAAGCGTAACACCAACGACGATGACTACGAATAGGTGTTCTGACCTAGTTTCATACATAAGGACTGAAATAAAGCCAGCGTTTGTTTATTCAGACCTTTCGAATTATAAAATCTATTTTTAACACCTACCACAAAGTATCCGATTATCGTATTTTATTACATTAAATAAACTACTCGGGCTATCGTTATGATGTTATAGGGAAGCTATTAATAGGCCTACTCAACTACAACTCTTGATTTTATATAGCCGTAGTAATGGGGAACTAATATTTTAGATAAGAATACGCTGCTATCAGTTGTATGGGATTCTAAAATGTTACATAAATCTTGTACAACGCAAATACGCGTTTCAATCCCGGTGTTGGCCGATAAATTACTCTGGGCGGAGGTTCGGGCAATGAACAGCCCCTAGTCCTTCAGGTGCGACGAAAAACCGAGGTCCCGTGTACACATTACATGTAATTGGCAGTTGCAATTTCCCCTCATATCCCGGTTGGTACCGAATGGTAGGACGTTAAACCTCAGTTCATTTGATTAATTTCTTTTACTTAATATGTTTTCAGGCTTTTTACTTTGATCGCGATGATGTTGCTTTGCCTGGATTCAGCAAATTTTTCAAGCATTCTTCTGAAGAAGAAAGAGAACATGCCGAGAAATTGATGAAATACCAAAACAAACGTGGTGGACGAGTTGTTCTCCAAGATATCAAGGTAAAAAAAAATTCATTAATGTTAACATTTGCTAATGTTAACATTCGTTAATATCAATTTTTTGAGTACCAATTCAATGCTATTCAAAGTTATTCACCGGGAAATTTGCCTAATAAATATAAATTTGTTAACCAGAAAAGGTCAAACTGTCTGTTATTTACTTTTAACGACATGACAAGGGACATAACTATATTTAAAACAAATTTACCCAGATGAATTCGTTTTGTTAAATATGACTTTAAATTTTTCTGTTGAGATTCTACTTAGCTACTTTCGTAATTTTCGTTTACTAATTTTCCTTTATTTCTGTTCATAGAAACCCGACCGTGATGAATGGGGTACTGGATTAGAAGCCATGCAGGTTGCTCTACAACTGGAGAAAAATGTCAACCAGTCTCTCTTGGATCTACATGCCGTTGCCGATAAACACAATGACCCCCAGGTAGGTCTCTTTGAAAATATTTAACCACACTTTAAAATTAGATTATCAAAGAAATAGATAATAGATCTAAAAGTTTAAATTTAAATACAAAGTTACAATCCATGGGCGATGGTTGTCACATCGAATGCATTTTATCATGTATAAAGAAATTAAGAAATTTGAATGATGTTCAAACATTCCGAATTATAAACGATATTATATTTTCATTACAGATGCAAGATTTCTTGGAAGGTGAATACTTGAAGGAACAGGTTGACTCCATCAAGGAGATATCTGACTACATCTCCCAACTAAAACGAGTTGGTACCGGACTTGGAGAATACATCTTCGACAGGGAAACCCTTGGTAGCAGTTAAACACATGTCTCAAAATATGCCAGTGAGCTGAGAACCCGCTTGGTTTCTTAATCAAATACTCCGGGTTATATTGAAATAAATAAAAAGAACATTTCAAAGCAATGAAGTTTTTAGATTTTTTTTATCCGGTGGGCTGTCAATAATTTATGAAACTAACACGCCACTATATGATCATATCCCTTGAAGGGGCTAAGTGAGAGGGACGCAATGACCAGATTTTCGTCATGGTTTCGAGTTTTTGTGCTCACGCGGTTTCAATGCGGTTTTCAACATTGTAATCATAATCATAATACTTAACCAGTGTCAAACATATACCGTGGGTCAGATATGCTACAAATTGGCTCTAGCATGTTCCACACAGACCAATATTACCTGGCGGCCCTGCCCTGCACACATATATTATTTTTTTGGGGCCCGGACGGGATCTTGTACGTCATGCAAAATCCTGGGTCGCCACGCCTCTATTCCCTTGAACTTCCATTGAGTGAGGGGGTGGGGGGCTACCCTGGTACTTGCGAGGATTACATGAATAGAACCCGACATTTGATAGTGATGGGTTGGGGCTCAAACAGTTCAAATATTTCAATATTTCATCGTCCACTGATCACAGCCGACCACCTATCGTCTACTGGAATCCTCATTGTGCATTCAAAAATACGTCACCTAAAAATGTGGGTCTATAGGCTGAAGAATAAAAAAAAAACAGTTGCCTTATGGGGTAAGGCCCTGGCTCAAAGGCACCCCTGGTTGGGCCGAATGGTTAGCACGTGCGCGCTGTATCATAAGGTCTGTCACTGAGTCAACTGGCGTGGTTTCGATTCCCTGGATGTACGTGGCAAGGAGTAGGGTCGCCTGCCCAACCTCGTGGTTTTTTTCCGGGTCCTCCAGTTTTCTCCAACTGTTAAAGACCCCTACGGCCAAGCGAAATAAAATTGAACCATGTGTTAGTCCTGGAATGACAGTCTGTGGACGTTGAACCCCTTTTCTCTCTCTCTCTTTAGGTTGCCAGAGAAAGTTTATCCGGATTTGTTATCGCCCCCAACCCCACCCCCAGTGGTGCAGTGGGCCTGGTATGACACTGTGCCTAGTCTTCGGGTGTGACGAAAACGGAGGTCACATGTGAAGTTCTATAGCAGCACACTGCATGGCGCATGTCTTTATAAGGTGGGTTAGGATAGTATAGTAAGACGTTAAAGCCCATTCCATAACACTCAAATGTTTAATTCGTGTACAGTAAGGTAGGACGTGATATTCCATTTCATATTATAAAAGGGGCTAAAGATTCAAATATTTTTAATTTGTGAATTCTAATCAAACAAAGTGCGTTGTGGGTATGGTGAGATATTCTGATATCTCAGTAGCTAAAAGCAAATGATAATGTCGATTGACGCCTTACACAGGTCGATAATGCGTCGTACACAATTTGCCAGCTGTAGTTGTTCTAGACCGGAGGCTCAGCGCGGGGGAGGGGTGAGGGTGGGGTGTCCATCTAATGGGCACGAAACCAGAATATGCCTTGTCAACATGGGCGTCACACATTTTTTTTTTTGGGGGGGGGGGGGTCCGACCCCCCAATTATTTTTCGGGGGGGGGGGGGTCTGAATATACTGCCCCCCCCAAAAAAAAATAAAAAATAAAAACAATTTACATAGTAGGCCCTAACTCCTATTTATTTACAACAATTATTAGGATTAGTTAAGATCTTATCTGTATAAAACCTGTACATATCCCAATATGGTTTACATTGCTAAAATAAAACAAAGAGAGAATGTCCTGGAAACGTGCTATAAGTGAAAAGTAACTGTGTTCCATAAAATTGTGTCTAGTTAGCCTGACAGCCACGTAACCATAATACTTTGCACGCGGTGGCTGGCCACATGGTGTTTCTTTATATTTTTTAGGGGTTTTAAAAAAGGGTTAGGGTTAGGGTTGCGGACCCCCCCCCCCCCCAATATATATTTCGCGGCTACGCCTCTGCTTGTCAAGCACACTGTCTACATTCGGCTAGCAATATTTTAACTACAAATTACCCCCTGACTGATTGACGTGTTTTCTCTATCAGTTTACTGAAAATATTATTGCTACACAATTATATGTCTGATCAGGTACATATTATTCTACTAATTAGACGAAATAAGTCAACCACGATGTACTTTTGCTCTAAAAATAAGATAAAACTGACTGTTTTTGTACGTCGTACAAATTGAAAACAAGAATGGCGTTTGTTTATGACGTTAACGTTTTCAAAATTTTAATTATTTCCGTAGTTTTGCAGTCGGAGTTCAGCTTTAATGTTCCCCATTCTCTGATGTTTGTGCCCGAAAAACGGAAATATATTGCCCGAAAAATGGACGGTTTACCGAATGCCCCCCCCCCCCGCCCGGCTCCTAGGCCTATGATTACACGCTTATAATTTTTTGATCCCCAAATGACTACTGCATAGTCATTTAGTTTTCTTGACTTTTTTTTTTTAATTAAATTTAACGATAATTGTTTTTTTCCATCAATGTGCCTACACTGAGATTTCTTGTAGCACATACACTAGTGTGGCACAACGTTTGAGAAATATTCATTCTTCTTGAGTTGCTTCCCTTATTGTTAGTTTGTTTTTCATTTTGAGTGAAGTATATATCGCTATAGCCCCGGGCCTTTACAGTGGCGATTGATTAATATAGCAACGATGAAGGACCATGTAGATTAATGATCAAATTGAAAATACTCAAAATTGAATCAAAATGATATTTAACCGCCCGAGGCTATAATGATACCTAGGTTAGGGCTATTAATAGGGTGCCCCACCATAAATAAATATATGCAAAACATTTTTATATATACCAAGCCTTAAATCAGTTTCGCACATTTTTAGTCACTAAATAAGCGGTCATGTTGTACTTAATAAACTATGACCATTTAACATCCATAAAAATATAGACTGAAAAATGGTTACGGGTGTCGGCCATAACATCCGGGTACTTTTGAGTAAAAAATAGGTTACGTGCCCTTGTTTTGAAATTAGTCTCGCTTAACCAGTCTACAGTCCATTCTTCGTCTGATTGACATGCCGGGATAATCAAGACTAGTTGCTGTTGTTAGTTAGTTGTATTTTACGTCCGCTTCCACCGAGGTGATATCGCAGACAATCAAGACTACTTTTTTTTACGAAACATAACAGAAAGCTGGAACAAGATACTGAATTTAGAAACACGCACGTTAGGCAACTCAACAATTGTTTTAAGAACCTTGTAAAAGTAAAATGAAACTACTGCTAGTATTATGTTCTTGTCAACAATAGATTTTTGTTACGGTTGTAATAGTTGATTGATATGTAGAGAATTTCATGTACGATGGCTATTTATAGATTCATGTGCTGAGTGTATCGCACCGCGTGATTAGCCAGAAATCACTTCGAGACAAGCCACTGAAGCGTGCATATTCGAAGTGTTGAGCTCAACTTTTAGTAGGGAAAATTTTGGCTCCATGGGACACCCTACTATTGATCGTTTGCATTTCGATATGTACCCGTTTTAACATTCTAAATATGGAAATAGGCCACACATAGGATACATCATATACATATTTTTACAAAACATTTCAGTTGAATACAATTACAAAATAATGACGAATATATACACCAATAAACCATTAAATCCCCAAGCCTTAATGGCCTTGTTCATGTTTTACCACGTAATGTCTTATTTGTACACGTGACAGAGTGCTCAACGAATTTTCCAGCCAGCATTGGTACTGTTTTAAGTTGATATTACGTCTTTGGAGTATCGAAAGCATACCCGTCGAATAACTTTCTAAATGTATAGATTCTAGTTTAATATTATTTGTGGATACAAAGTTAGACATGGTTCTACTGGTCGTAAGAAATGAAATTAAATGAACCACTGAGAAGCGGGAACCACACCGGAAAATCCCGAAGAACTTTCTCGGTCAAAACAGGGTCGATCACGGGACTTCCAGGTTAGTGAGCCAACGGCTTATTCACCGAGTCACCGTGGCTTCCCTGGCCGCAGAAAGATCACGTCTGATCTAGGCATATTTTCAGAACATGGGATGACGGTTTGATGTACTAAGCAAAAGGAGTACGTTTGCACCGACAGGATGTTGATACATATGTATTTAAGGGTATTCGAGGTTATATAATATAGAGATAACACATTTATTTATCTGTTAAAGTTGATGTTTATCAATTGTCCATCAATACATTCTGGTGATAAAGCCAACGTATCTATGATTTACACTAATGGTCAACGTATCCATGATGTACACTAATGGTCAAGTTCCATACGATTGGATGAAATTAGACGATGTCATGCTACTCGTTTACTATAAATTCCACGTTACATCAGTAGCCTTTAGACTTGTCTTTGCTACGTCAGTGAATGTACGGGACAAACTCAAACCTTTTATTTTAAAAGTTTAACAGATTGTTTGGTCTTCTTGATACCTTGTACTAGAACTAACTAAATCACCATCAAAATGACACAGAGTCAACCTCGTCAGAACTTCCATTTGGAAAGTGAAGCAGGCATCAACCGCCATGTTAATATGGAGCTGTACGCCAGCTATACCTATCAATCCATGGTGAGTAGCCATTTTTGCCATTTACACAAACCTTTGCACTATTTAGATAGATGGCCAGCTTGTTGTCTTCATGGGTATTCTGTTTATTCTACGGCGTTCATGCAACCATATCTATGTTGGACGAAGATGTTTAAGAGATGTTATAATTAGACAAGCTTTGTAAATGATCTGTCGGGTTCATTAATCAGTTTTATTTTGTTCACAGGCTTTTTACTTTGATCGTGATGATGTTGCTTTGCCTGGATTCAGTAAATATTTCAAGCATTCTTCGGAGGAAGAAAAGGAACACGCCGAGAAATTAATGAAATACCAAAACAAACGTGGTGGAAGAGTTGTTCTTCAAGATATCAAGGTAGGACAATATTTAATTATTATGTTGGGTGGGGTGTCGCGGTGGCTTAGCGAGTAAGGGGTAACTCGCTTTCCGGGAGTTTGCGGGTTCGCTCCCTGTAAATTGGCTGAGAAAGTTCCCCGGGGTTTTCCGGCGTGATTTTCCCCTTTTTCAGAGT